AGACCCTTGAGAAAGGTCGAAACCGGTCGTGGTATCTTCTTTTGATTCTTTCAGAAATGAATTCTGTCTGAGTCTCTAGTAACTACAAAGCGGTTGTAAAAATTAACTAAATATAATTATTCAAGTCGAGTTTCATATTTATATACTGACTGTTTTATTTACTCAGAATTACCAGTGAAGGACAGAGTAGTCATTTGCGTCTAGATTTGTGGACTGATCAAGGTAAATAGATGGTAATCATCAAATATCTTTTAAATCTATTGTTTAATATTATTCAGAAAATGATAATACATCAATATATGATACAACAACATGTTCGGAACCGATTCATTTTCATAAAAAAGTTGAAACAAAGCCAACAAAACTCATGGTTTCATTTAAAACGGTTCGTTCGAACAAAATATTATTATTCTCAATTCATATTTAAATTTTATTACAGCCAGTAGCACCCTATGCATCTGTTGATCTCATTCATCATACATCGCAGCAATCATTTGATAATGGAACTTTGAGAAATAATAAATTACCAGAAATTACTCAAGATTCTCTAATGGTAATTCGAAATATTGGTTTGAACAATCATAATGAGGTACACATATTTAACATATAATCTAAATACTATTTGAAAATGAAAAATTTAAATTGTTTTCAGTGTTTCTACAGTGAACTATCTTCAAATGATAAATTGAAAATATCAGTGATCCTATATGAACCACAAAAGAAGAAAGAGTCATCATCAAAGTTCGTAAATTGCGTTGATTTTTGTACGATGTGATAATTAATTAGGATAGAAAGACACTAACATTTTCTCATTTAGAAGTGCTCATTTACGATTTTATACGTTAACAACATTGAAAAAGTTAAAACATGTAAATTTAGTTCGTTGTCTTGGTTATGTTCGAACATCACCTGAACGATATTTATTAGTGACAGAGCATCATTTACATAATTTATATGATCATATAAAAACATTATCAAATGATGAATCCATTTATTCGTAAGTGAAAAATTAGTTTTACTATTTTAAATTTGACTAAAAAATTTTAATTTAGAGAATTATTAATGTATGTCGAACAAATCGTATCAGCTTTATCCTATTTAGAATTATCCAATATTATTCATCATGATTTAACACTACCCAATTGTTTATTATACGTCGATAATCATCAATCAACAATAAAAATATCTGATTATGCTAGTCTCGATGATAAATATGATATCAGATATCACACTGTTGGCGAACAAAAATTAGCAATTCGTTATTTACCTACGGAAGCCGTTATTAAGGTAAAAAATTTCTTCGTATTTATTGATAGATTATATATACAAATTAACGTTATCATATTTTAGGATGATTGGTCATTACAAACAAATTCGTATATGTTTGGTACACTATTATGGGAAATGTTTAATTTTGCACAAAAAATACCATGGTCTAATTTAAATGATGAGGAATTATTTTTACTTTTTGAAAAATGGACGTTAGAAGGAATAAATACGAATGAAATAACATTAGGATTTGAACGTCCTCAACTATGTACTGATCGTTTATTTGCACTTATTGAACGATGTTTGTCTTCGACAAATAGTGATAGACCATCATTTCGAGAAATATCGTTATGTTTAAATGAAACACCGTTATTTTAGATTAGAAAAAAAATATGTTGTAGAGATAAGTTACTTGAATAAAATTGTTTTCATTACTTTTTCATTGAAAAAAAAAGTTGTGCTTATTCTCTAATGAACTCTGGTCAACAATTCAGATATATTAGATATTCGATAGGATACGTGAGTACTTAGTGTAACAAACTGTCTATTATTTCTTCTTAACGGACGTTGCAAACTCAACATATGTAGATACCAGTTCTGCGTATATTGATAACAACAACAGAACAAAAAGAAAAGAAAAAAAAGTCACAATTTTTAGATTTCTGTCCGATATATTTTTCTCATCAAAAAGAAAAATATGACTCTTGTATAGCCTCTTTTTCTTGTTTTTGTTTGCGATAAAGAAATCAAAGAAAAAAAACAGAAGAAAAACAATATTTGGATGGCTCATACTACGAGAATAAACTGGCAATGTTGGATTGAATAAACAGAATAGTCATAAGAGTACGATTTTAAAGAGAAGAGAACAGGAAAAATATGTTCATGACTTAGTTATTTTTTGCTTAACATTAGATTAGTTAATTCTATTGTGCACTTAAACGTATTAAAAGACATGAATAAATTACACAGCATGTTTCGTACACTTTGTGTAAATATAACTCGAAATTTAAGTTCCAAAGCCTCATTAGAAACACAATCTCGATCGTCTAAGGGGAAATCCAAAGCCACTGTATTAAAACAAATGTTATTATCAAATGAATTAGAATTTATAATGGAAGCACATAATGCATTGAGTGCAAAAATTGTCGAAGAAACTGGATTTAAAGTAAGAATAAAAATAGCGTCACATTTTAAATAGTATTATACTATTTGATATTTATTTCTCAGGCAATATGGGCAAGTGGTTTGGCTATGTCAGCTCAACTTGGATTACGTGATTCAAATGAAGCATCATGGACTCAAGTATTAGATATATTAGAATTTATGTCCGATTGTACATCGATACCTATCCTGGTTGATGCTGATACAGGTTATGGAAATTTTAATAATGCGAGACGTTTAGTTAAAAAATTGGAACAACGTCATATTGCTGGTGCATGTATTGAAGATAAATTATTTCCAAAAACAAATTCATTACATGATAATCGATCACAACCATTAGCTGATATTGAAGAATTTTCAATGAAAATTCGTGCAATGAAAGATACACAACAAGATCCTGATTTTTGTGTTATTGCAAGAGTTGAAGCGTTTATTGCCGGATGGGGTTTAGATGAAGCGTTAAAACGAGCAGAAGCTTATCGAAAAGCGGGAGCTGATGCCATATTAATGCATAGTAAGAATAAACAACCACATGAAATTGAACAATTTATGAAAGCATGGAATAATCAAGGACCAGGTAAGAAACGACAGTTTTTTTTTTGCTATACGTTAAAAAAGAAATTATTAATTGCTCAATTTAGTTGTTATTGTTCCTACAAACTATTATCAGACACCAACGGATGATTTTCGTAAATGGGGTGTATCCACTGTTATATGGGCTAATCATAATATTCGATCATCAATAACCGCTATGCAACAAATAAGTAAACAAATCTACAAGGAAAAAACTCTAAAAAATATTGAAACTCAAATTGCTTCCGTAAAAGAAATATTTCGTTTACAGAATGATGCCGAACTTGTTCAAGCGGAAAAAAAATATTTGCCAAGAAAAGAATAGAATCTAATTTAATAATATTCAATAGTTTAATCATATGTTATTTTAGATGAATTGCAATGTTTAATTGTTATTTACAGTTATATTGTTAGCTTTTTGCCGTTATCATATTTTCAATGTATACGCAGTTATAGATTCATTTTATATTGTGAATCACCAAAAATTTTTTGGACTCATAATTATAGAAGAAAAAAAATAATGACAACACGAAACGTACGATATGCAAACTATTCCGCCTTTGAATAAATATCACTATCAAAAGTTTGACCAGTCTTGAAACTGAGTCAGACCAATGTCAATTCTGAAATCGATTCGATATGATTATAAGCGAAAATAATTCCATCTCTGATTGCAATAAGAAAGTTTTGAAGACTTGCATAGATTGTTAAACTCTTCCTTGCAACAATATACGAAGAATAAGGTAAATATTATCGTTTTCTTGTTACGTTTCTACCGTTGTTTATTTCAAAAAAATTTTTAAAAAACTTTCAAACTCTGCTAGTTATTTATTATCACTTTAAAAGGTGCTAGTTATTTATTATCACTTTAAAAGGTGCTAGTTACTTATTTGTGAACGGTCTGACGACATCTATCTATTATACAATCTTTTCTTTTGTTCATAGTATATTTGATAAAAAATCAGTAATGCATGACAACAGAATAGGGATAATCTATATGGAAATATCTATCATAATGAACTCAAAAGTTTATTTCCACTAAAATGAGGATACGGCCGGCGATGCTAGAAAACAGAGAATCAAACTGTGGAATGATAGAAGTTTCTATCGGGTGCGTCATAATGAATGAGCCTCTCAGTATTTTCTATTTTTCTCGTGTTCCTTTAGGATCTCACGGTTTTTTTAAAAGATGCGCCACGAAATACTCTAAAACTATATACCTAAGCTTTAACTTTAGAACTTCAATAAAGAAAACTACGCAAATTGTACGAAAGGCGAAAAAACTGAAAACTTTGTAAGTTTAGTATTTTTTTCGACTTGAACTTTTTCTTCTGCTATTATTTTCATAAAAAAGTGTGACAAAACAGTGGCGGATCCAGGATTCTACCGACGGGGTGGCGATTTCTAAACGATGTCGTCCGGGGTAGTATGAATATTTTTTCTAAGGAAGTCTGATAGTGTACTTGCATTAGAATTCCATTTGCGAGGGGGCGACGGTCGCCGAACCACCGTAGTGCTAGATCCGCCACTATGGCAAAAATAAGAACTGAATTCTTTTTGTACTTTTGAATATGCTCTTTCTCGTGGTTTCTCGTTTTCTTTTTATCGAGCAGATGGTGTGCTGAAGAACAAAGTTTCAAAAATACGTCAGAACTTGACAATTATAATAATTTATCGAAGTAAAAATCTGCAAAATAATATTTACCAGTCGTTCGACAACATTTTTTTACTGCTACTGACAATAAATTAGGAGTTGCTAATCATCCAACAAAATGAAAAAAGAGATAAAGGCAATTTAGCTTATTTTAATTTTTATACATAAAAGAGTTGATAAGTGTCCTTCAGGAAGCAAGTGAAATTTTCATCGATGTCATATAGTTCACAGATTAGGACGGTGGGTTTTTAAACACTCGCGTCTACCCCTCAGTTTGATTCTCTTTTGTTTAATTGTGGTAAAAGATATATCGAGTCTTTGTCGCCCTGAATAATAGACGGATGTTAATTAATTGATTAATTTGCATCTGATATTTTGTTGCATGTTATTTAGTAATCAGTGCTTCAACATTTGTTTTTAAAGTATCAGCTATTTTTAAATGTTACTCTAATAAATAAGTATAAATTGTTGCAAAAACTATGAGTAAAAAAACTGTGAGTAAGTATAACAATTAAGCTAACAAGAAGAGTCACTTTATCACAGACGCAGTAAAAGATTAACAAATCACCATGTGTAGAACATGTAAGAGTTTATTTAACATCAATATTTTCCAATTTGAATACCCATATCCAATCATTGGGTAAAGAGTAAGCTTTTATATCACTTATATCCAAAATAATACCACTCGTTTGTTCAGATGGACGCCAATTAATTGCCTTTTCACGGCCAAGTATGGTTACTTTTGTATTGCAAGTCGGTATTGGTGCACCCAATAAAACTGTTGTTGAATCAGTGGGCCAAACTAGCAAAGACGCATAGACCAATTTTCCATCTTTAGACGTCGTATACCTAGAAAAACACGTATTCTACAAAAAAATTAATAAATTTGAAAGTCCATCTAGATAAACAAAAAACTCGAGCATATTTTATTTGTGTCGAATAAATTGTGTAGATTCAAAAAATTTAAACTGATTCATTTTATGTAATCATTTAATGATACTAATATTTTGTTTTTATTCTAGTTCTAAACTAAGAAATTTTATTTAAACGTACCATACATCTTTATTCAAAGTATCATTTTGATATTTCCATGGTACACTGCTATAGATAGCTTCGCCATTCACATTTAACCATGAACCCATTTGACGTAATCGTTCCTCCATTATGGGTGCAATTTTTCCGTATGCCGTTGGACCTGTATTAATTAATACGTTGCCTCCTGTTGATACAGTTGTAACAACTTCTTTTAATAATTCTTGTATTGTGATGTAATCATTTAATGATGCTGTGCGCCGATATCCCCATGAATCTTTATCCAACGTAAAGCAATTCTCCCATTTATGAGGAACCAAATGACCAGGATTATAATGATCTGAACATGTATAAAAACTACCATGTTTGCATAAAACTTCAGCACCTAAAAAGAGAAACAAGATAAGTTAAGAAAATGTAAAGGTCCAAATCATTTTCTAGAAGAAAATTTTTTATATTTATGTTACAATCCTCTTATTAATTGTTTGAATCTTAATAATATTTTTGACTAACGAGGGAACCTCACCAACTGATGCCCTCCGGGTGAGCTCATACTTTGCTCATAGGTAGGACTCATAGTGTAGATAAAAACTCTAAAAGGATTCATCCCCTTGACTCTTGAAGACCTGGTTTTCTGGAAAACCAGTTTTTCAGAAACTCTAAAAAATAACCAAAACCTTTTCT